TTTTGGGGGTGGGGGTGAGAAATAGAAAGGCCTAACTTATTTAGAATGTGGTTTTGGTGATTAGCACCTCATTACGGCAAGAAATGTGTTCAAATGCTTTCCATTTGGTCCACCCCCAAAATACAGACAACGTTTGGAGACCCCAAACACAAACAGCAAACAACTAAAACATTGCCCTGACCGTCCAAGCAAAGCCCAACAGGGGACACTGCAAACACCTAATAAGCTCAGGTGATATCCCCAACAGCACGCGGTGCTCGTTTTAGTGCTCGCACCACCCCGCAGCCCTCGCAGAATATTGTGGAACCCTGGTGGAACCCTGGTGGAACCCTTGTGGAACCCTCCTGGAACCCTCGTGGAACCCTCGTGGAACCCTCGTGGAACCTTACCTCAGGGCCGCCCCGGACCACCCGGTGCCTATCTGGGCTGAGACCCCAAAGCTTTCAGCTGTCGGGGAATAGAAAGGTTTCTTCCCCCCCTTGGCTCCAAATCATTGGAGTGAACGTTTGTTGGATTTCGGCGTGGTTCTCGACTGTCAGTCCTCTATGTTGCAGCGCCTCATCTGCATCACCGCTTGCTTGGACAGCTGCTGCCAAAACCCCACACTGGCGATACCTCGGGGCTTGGATGAGTTGAGACTTGTCGCATGGATTCTGCCAGTGGCAGGGGATAGCTTTTCAGGGTGAGAGCAGCTCTCGCATTTTGCGAGTGCAAGGACACCAGCTAGACGTCTCCGGCATTTCCTGGGCCAGAAATATGGATCAACCCCCATATGGCTGTGGCTCAAAAAACCGGAATTCCAAAATGGGTTGCCCTGAGCGGAAACATGTACCAAAACCTGCGGTCTGCCCCTGGCTAATTTTGAGCCACAACCAGATGTATCCCTCTTACTTCTAGAGGCCAGCGTGAGACAACTTTACTCGTGGAGCTGCCGGTGCTCGAGCGCTTACCCAGTCATCTCAAGCCTGGTAGCCTATTGGTTTCCCCACAGGTCCATTGTGAGACCCCAAATGCGTCGTTTTCTTTTTTCAGGGGACTGGGGACTGAGCGCTTGGCAAGTGGGCCGTGCCCCTGGCTCAGTGGATTTGAGTCTCCGTGCCTTTGCTCCAAAGGCCCAAAATTTCGAGCGCTCCCGGAATGGGCAGCCGGGCACTGAGCCAATCTGGCTTGGGGTTTCAGTAGACCTCCCCAAAGGACCTGACAACAAAGCTTAGCCTTTTGGAACCTTGATTGAGGTCCGAAATGCAAAGGTCGACCGACCCCCCTTCCGCACATCGGTGAGATCTTCATAATTTAACAACCTGACATATGGGAGTTACATCGGTCGGAGCCCGACCAAACCCACCCTGGCTTCTGCAGCGCCCCGAGTCTTCGCAAAACAGGGGCCATACTAAGAAAGGATTGTTTCTCGTACACGAGGCTGCACGCCCATTTGAGTGAAGTTGCGATGAACTTTGCCCAACGACTGTCGAGCAAAATCCACTTAGCACCACGACCACAAACTTTGGGATGAACCGCTTGACAACTGGTGAATCATTTTGCCCATGAGTACACAACGGCAATCAATGAATCGTCAGGTTCGAAATGTGGGAGGGAGGGGAATTTCCGTGCGTGCGTGTTTCTTGAGAGCATTTGCGGGGGAGGGTTTACCTCATAGGTAGATGGCCATGTTAAATCTAATCAAACCCATCTAAACCAGTGCCTTCGATTTTTAACCAAACTAACCGATGAAAAAAATACCTATGGTTTACCTTAAACGTAGGTCAAAAGGAAAATGGTCAGGTCAACCGTCCGGGTGGCCCAGCGTGGCAGCGGACCAGGCCAGCCTGAGCTTTCACCAGGTCTCACACACCAGAAGCCAGCAGGAAGTTTAGATGGCCTGTCCAAACAGATCCCCCGCTCAAAGCTTATTAACTCTTCGTGGATGAAATGGACATCCCCCCCTTTTTTAAACACTAAAAAGAGCTAAGAGGCTGAGGAACCGGATGGCTGGGAACCACCCAGTTAGGAAATGCCCTGGTTTTTGGTTGGCCAAGTCCCTGTAGAACTTCTGGTAGCTGCTGGCTTCTATGAGCACATCATTCTCCCATGGCATACCCAGCATAACCATGTTAACAGTAACTGTACGAACTGAACTGGGCAATGGGTGAACATAAATGGCACAATTCCCCCATGCTGGTTTCATTGTCCCACGTCATGACTGCAAGCAAATGGCACCATCGAATTCCCCTGATGCAATCCTCAGAGGGAAGCCACTACAAAGGGGGCCAAGTCCTTGTCGCGACCCAAGAGAAAAAACATAAGGGACTGCATTTGTCCAGCCGAGTCAATGGCTGACAATCACATTCATGTGTCATGTAAACAAAAAGGGAAGCGGGTAATTCCTAAAAAGGGTGCATTTTCAAGGGTGCCCTCGTTCGGTGGTTTTCAACGGAAGCCTTTAACGGCCGTCGCTTTCAGGCTACCCCATTTTTCGATTTTTGGGGTGGGTTTCCAAGGGAAGCCAAAAAGGAAAACCAACCATCTTGGGGGGGATAAGCCTAAAACCAGACACCCCCCAAGCCTCTTTTGGTGCCGCGCTTGGGCCCAGAATTTCATGCAAAACGAGGGTCTGCGCCAGCTCATGGGGCCGCAGGCTTGGCAGCTGTCGCTGTGCCGCACGGAGAGCACCGCGGCAGAGGGTCACCTGGAAGACGGGGTTCGGCAAAGAGAGAACTAGGTCCAGTAGAGAAAAACAGGGTCCAATTCCTGGTTTACTTTTGACCCATACCCACTTTGTAGAGAGGTTAGAAGAAGTTGGTACCCGATGTTTTTTTCCTGTAGTCTATTTTAGTAGGGGAACCCTCCCAACCAAAAAAGAAACGGCAAAAGGGCACTACTGGGGGACCTAGAGAACCACGGTGGAAAGGGGGAACCCTTTTTTGGGGTTGACCCATGGTTAGGAAACCCAAAGGTCCACAGTGACATCCTACCCCGAAATGCACCAACTTGTCCCCTACATGGCGGCTTGAAAATACCAAGCAAATTTTGAGAACCTCCAAATGTGCACAAGGGAACCAGGGCCAAAATTCTGAGATCCGAGAAATTTGCAAGCCTCCACACAAATCCAGGTGGTGTAACAAACAATGGTTTCCAGGTTCAAAACTGATGGGAAATGACTGGGTTGAACAAGCAATGGCCAACAAGAGCGACTAAACTTTTGGTATGCCAGAATGGTCCAGACCCAAAAGTCTAGGAACTCCAGGGGTCCAGGAACTTTCGGGGTATGAAAGTCATCATGGGGTTGAGGGGGACTGTGAGATCAATTTACCTCATTTGGGGAAGAATGTTCGTGATGACTTGGACCCCTTCCATTTTGCTGGGCTGTTCCAACTGATCCCCTGCTGAAAATTTGACTTGTTGTTTGTGGGTTAAATGGAAACCCAACCACCAAAAACCCGAAAAAGCTAAGAAGCTAAGGAACCGGATGGCTTGGATGGCCGGGAACCACCAAGTGTAGTGGCAGAAATATTCCCTTGTATCGGCCATGGTGCTTGACACGACAACTTCGCCACAGACCCTGCTGTCCCAACCCTCGACAGAAAAACATAATAAAACAATGCGCTCAACACATCATAACACACGCGCATACACACACACAAAACAAAGAGACCCAATAACTCTGAAGTACTAAACAAAACAACATAAGTGTGAGTCTTTGTGAGGGTACCACCTTTCGGTGGCTAGTTACAAGGAAACCTTTTAGGGAAAGGCACCAACTTGGGGGTCGGAATCTCACTTCCTGAGTGGATTGGTCAGAAAAAGTCCAAACTTCTATTCACCACTAAAATGGTCTTCCCAAGACGTTCAAAGTCCATGAACTCAGGAAGCAAGCAATCCTGTAAAATGACACGCTCACCGCGCATTTGTGTCCCGAGCTGCATCCTCTTGGCCCAAGCGCGCCAGAGCCCTGAGCGCCGGAACGCCGTCCCCAAGCCGGGCTCCATGCATCTCCCGCAGCAAATGCACGCCTTGCGCGGGCAAACGCGAATAAAAATCATTCCATGTAGCCATGGGTCAAAGCCCGTACCCCCAGTGAACATCCCAATGCCCACTAAAATAGACTAAAATGGGTGGTGTACCTACCCCAAAATGGTACCATTGGTTTTGACCCACAGCCATGTGGGTGCGTCTTAAAAATGCGGGGGAGGGGGGGAAAAGGGGGGGTCTTGACAAATAGAGGTGTCCTTTGGTTTTCCTCCAAAGCAAACCACCCTCCAACAAAAATGGACCGTCACCCATGTTTGGTGGGCTTGTTTGCAGCGTTTTTTAAGCCCGGACGCGCCAATCAGAAAAAATGGGACCTCGGTTGTGTTCCCAAAAGGTGGGCGCATTTGTGGGGGGAAGCCGCCTATGCATCTGGATCTTTCAGCTAGACTTCCAAGTTGCCAAACTCCTCGAACCAAATCCCAAAGTGTCATCGCGCGGGTCGTCGGAAGCAAGAGACAGAAACAAACAAACTGAGCCTGCGTCGCATTGTCCCTTTGGTTCGGTGGGCCGTTGGACAAAGGGATTTCATCTAGACGTTGGTTTGTGGAAGATACAGGAGATACTCCTAGTAGTAGTGAGCATTATTCTTGAAACCAATTTGACCCTGGAACTATACTTTGACTTTGATGATTTGCCTTTGTGAGAATGACCAGAGAAGCGGAACAGGGGAATCAATTGGCACCCCACCCCGTTCTTTTTTAATGTTAACCCCGGATTAATAAACCCCTGGTTGATTAATAGGGGGGTGTCCCCTCTTAGTGGGGATTCATTACTTTTGGAGGGAACACCCCCCTAATGATGGGACGGGTTTTATTAATCCTGGGTCAACATTAAGGCTTGAGGCAGGCTGCTTGGTTCGCTTTTTCTGTAAGCCGATACCCCTCCGCATCCTTGAGCCCGCCTTGCTGGGTGGCAGCGCACGTTTCGCAGGCCGAGATGGCCGCGCTGCAGGCGCTGACGTCCGGTGAAACCTGAGAGATGCAGTCATAGGTGGCCTTTTGGAAAAATAGATGGCCCTGGTAAATAGAGTCAACCCCATCTAAACCAGGGCCCTCTATTTTTTCAGCAAACCAACCAAAAAGGACACCTATGGATACAGTGCTCGACATCTAAGTGGCTAGGGGACGTAGAGCCAGGGTGAGTTGGTCACGTGGCCAACTCAACCACGAAGGATACCCCGTTTTTGTTGTAGAGTAAGCCCCTTGAAAGCCACGTTTAGGAATAGTGAAAATATGCCTTTCTAAGCCGATCAAGCCTTACCAAGGCTCTCTTGTCAGGGGGGACCTCTGCATGGTTTCATGCAGCGTTTGCCCAACCAAAAAATTAGGCCTGTCCGATTCTGGTCCACATTTGGTGAACCTCAATATGTAAAACATGTTCAACGTAGATCCCAGATAGGCCCTTATGAACGGTTTCGGGTCCCAAATAAGCTACTTGGTGCGTCTTAGAACCGCTAAACCAAAGGTCTGAAGAAAGGCGACGAGTCATTTTGGAAACGCAAGCAACTGGTTGTCTTAGAAAGTGACACTCAGCTATCCCACCAATAGCAGATATCCCACACATGTTCCTGGAAAATAACCAAATATGTGCTAACTGTACCTATTGGCTAGGTATGCTAACTGAGTGTTACTCACTATGGCGTCAATGTTGCCCCGTGGAGTGAGGCTTCCCTTCTTGCAGCGGACCGTAAGCTCTTAGCCCTTTGGCCACTCACCGACCCGCTTTAGAGGTATAGTCAATTCCAGAAACACGAAGCGAATAAACCAAGTAAGCATGGCAGATTGTAAGATGTTCCTTGTTCCGACAGGGATCCATATGTTGTTCGCGAACGCTAGGAATTTCGTTCCCAGAGTCATCGATCTGGCGGTTCCCCAACAGTGATCCGGATTCCCTCTTAAATCAAACACCCTCGATCAAACATATTTGTCTCAATCCTGGTTCACATGGAATGGCGAAGGACGCAACAAACTCACAAGGGGGCTCCAACAAAAAATGTGAGGGCTCCCTCAAGGAAATGGTTGAACCCTTTGTTTGTATATATATATATATATGTATGTAAGCTAACCAAACGGCACCACACAAGCAAGCGATAACTCTTTTATCCAAGCAATGTGTTGGTGCCAGGGACTCATCTTCCCCTGTCAGATGTCTACTGCTGGGGCCTTGGGGCCACCCCCACAGTATCTCAAAAACTGAAGAGCGGGTGTGCAGACCACAGGGGGGTCTGCCAGCAGGGGAAGTGAGTCACCCACCGGCTCCGGTCACGGGAGCATGGGTGGGCCCACGCTAAGATCAAATGCATCTCCATTCAGAAGACGCGGGAGAAAAGTGAACTCTTCGCGAAGTTCCTGTTTAGGAACTCTACGCAAAGGGTCGAACCCAGAGAGGTTGAATTCCCGGGGCACGTGATTGGCCGCCAGCGAGCAGCCATGGGTGTGGAGCAGGAAGACCAGCTCCATCAGGATAGCCGCGGTGTAGGGCTTCTTGGATCCAAGGTTGAGCATCGCCATGACGTTGCCCTGATTGTCACTGCCCACCGGGAGTCGGACCCGGGAGGACAGGGGGCCTTGGTGCGTGAGGATCATGTTACAGAGGAAGAGCGTGCCCAGCATTTCCAGAGCCGCAATCCTCCGCTTGGGATCCCCATTCTTGAATGCCCACGGGTACTCCTCCACGTGGATCTGCTCGTGGAACCAGTACACCTCCTTCTTCTCCGGCTCCACTTTGTTGGAGCACCAGCCTCCCACAAATGCCAGTCCTTCATCCGAGGCGCTAGCATCGCTGCAACCCCACCAAGAGGACTTCGGCAAGTAAGGGGAGTACTGGACGAAGGGCGTGTTGAAGAGGAACCGCAGCATGAACGCCAGCATCCTGACCACCTTAGGGGGTTTCCCCACCGTGGTGGTGGCCATTTTCCAGGCCCACAGTGGCTGAAGCATCGACTTCGCCAGCGGACATGCAGCAGTTGCCCATTGGATGCGGCCCAGGGCCTTCTCGATGTCCTTCGAGTGCATCGCCTGCCCTTCCACCATGATCTGCAAGACCTCCATCACCAGGATGTGTTTGTTGGCTGCCATGAGAACCTGCGGGATGTTCGGGTGGACCACGAAGCCCAGCCACGTGTTGACCTCCGCCAAATGTGTCTTTTTCCAGCTAAGCGGGGTGCCCAAGGCCAGGAGTGTTGCCAACAGCGCCACCGCCAAGTTTACTGCCCCCTTGCTGCGAAGCAGCCACAGGAAGTCATCCACAAAGACGAAGTTCCAATCCACTTGAGGGAAGAGTGCGTAGAGGACCCGGAGGAGAAGGGCTGCCAGGCGTCCCCAGTAGGATTGGGCACTGGCCATGCCGTATGTGCCTACCTTGTTCACCCACCATTCTTCCCCCAGTGAGGCCACCTGGAACCGCCAGTCCTTCTTGAGGACCTTCACTCTCCGGTGGGCCTTGGTGACGTCCGCCTTGAGCAGCACCCACCTGGTGCCCGGCTCCGGCCATTGCCAGCCCTCGGGTGGAGCTTTGGCAATCTCCCTCTCGGGGCCGGGGGCACCCTGAGAGGGAGGTCCCTCCTCAGCTGCCGCATGTAGCCAATGAAGAGCTTGTACCCCATCCAGCACCGTCGGAGCCGTCGTCCTTTCCACCGTCTGGTTCCTGATGGTGTCATTGGCCCCGCCCACCGAGCCATCGTAGATGGTGCGGATCTTGTCCCCTTCGTCGATGCCCGCTAGGGGGCCTGGGCAAAGATCCTCCATGTTGCAGCCACAGCGCGCTGCTGCCTCTACCTTGGTGAGAGGGCCATCTACCATGCCCATGCGGACCTCCTCCAGGAATGTGTACGGATGAGCTCACTGAAGTGATCCGCTGAGGGGTAGTTACCCCGGCCCGTGAGATGAGGGAGTTCCTGGAACTCCGGCCCCTCCCCTTTGAGCTCCTTCTTGAGTGGCCAGATGCCCGGCGAGGCTAGGGGTGGGTCCGTGACCCCCAGTGGGACCCCTTGTTCCAGATCCCGAAAAAACTGGTGGTCGGGGTCCTGAATGTTCATCGCCAAGCTGTGCAAGATGTCCAGGAAGAAGGGTTGGCCTTCCGCTGGTCGGCCTGCCCCTGGCGCCAGGATCTCCCTCAGGTCCTCCGGGAAGGGGTGTGACCCGTCCCCCATGGCGACGTGAGGACACAGATCTTGGCCTAGCGCTGCTGCTTTGGACAATGGCCGGGTTGAAGGGGCCAGCCGTCCAAGTGAGGGCTTCCCACCCCCGTCCCTGAGGGGGCGCTGTTTGAAGGCCATCTGGAGGTACATAACCTTGTCGGAGAGATTTGGGTCGTGCGTGATCGGCAGGGTGGTGGGCCGATCCGAGATCTCCATGCAGTGGCGTACCCATGGCTGAAGGGGAAGAGTTTCACCCCGTAGATCGACCTCCCTGCCCGCCGGCTGAGTTGGTGTCCGGACCTCAGGATTGTCTGAGGCCGAGACCGGACGTGAGCCCAAGGTTAGTCCCGCCAACGCTTGTTGGCCGGCCTTCAGCCTCAGGGACTGGCGCTTGTTGTCCCCCGGCGTGTGGGGAGATGGTTCCCTCTGCCGCCTCGGGGGGGTCGTTGGGTTCACTTGGGGCATCGTGCCCCCCGGCCTCAGCGCCTCCAGGACGGGTCCCGCTCTGCAGAGGATGGCCGCTGCGAGACCCTGCATCATCTGCTCTGGGTACCGGCTGAGGTCACTGGAGTTGAGCTTTTCCCCCTGGGGTGAGCTCCGTGGTTGCATCGCAGATCATGCCAATGGTGAAGGGGAAGGTCCGTTGACAATGTCGTGGACTTCACTACCACCTGGCCCAGGCGGCACTCGTCAAACTTCATGAGGGAGTGGTGGAGTGCGTTCGCCCATTGAATATAGGCCCGTGTGACCCAGATCGATGAGCACCTCTGCGCGGGCTCTTGCTGCACTCCATCGGGTCCATCGGGTGCTCCAGGAAGGAGGAGCCCACCTGCGGGACCGTTCGTTGACCTAGTCCTTGGTAGGCCAGCGAGGTCAGGTACATCTGTCGGAGCATGAGCACACTGTCATTGTCCCCACAGGGTCCGCTCCGCCCTGCCCCTCACCGGCAGCGGGCCTCCCGGTTTGGGGAACCATCTGAGAATGCTCCACGTTCTGCAGTTGGGGCCGCCCCCCACAAAGCCGACCTTGCCCGCCATGGCCATGGAGCACATTGTAGAGTATGGCTCATCTCCCAGCATGTCCAAGATCGCCCCCCTTTCGCCTAATGTCCACTGCCCAAATGTACTCCGAGAAGGCCGGGTTGTAGGCATGGAGGTAGGCATCCAGGGCCCCCGCGACAGCAGGATGAGGGTCGGCTTCGCCGACTCCGGCACCGGTTGTGGACCACCTTAGTCTGGACCTCAGTCTTTCCGGGGTGTCTTGGGGAAGGTGGGGCTTGTCCCCCCTGGGGTTTCCGTGTGTCCTTTGTCCGACCCACTGGTCGTCAGGCCTGGGCTTGCTGCTTGCCCTGACGGTTCTGCCCGCCCTTGGAACGCCCCTTGCTGGGCGGATCCCCACCTCTGGGTCTCTCTGGGGGTTCTTCCCACTGCCTCGGTGGGTGCGGGGGAAAAGGGTGCTTCTGCCCTTCTGGAGTGCCCTGGCTGGATCCACTCCCTCTCTTCGGTGGAGGGGCTTCCGGGGCCGGTGGCACCCTGGAGAGGTCCCCTCCCACCTGCGGCCGTCCTGGCCTCCTCAACTCTGTCTGCCTTCCGCTGTGGCTCTGGTGGGATTGGCTCTCCCCCGCTGTGCGCTCTCGCACTGGTGGCCTGTGATCCCTTCGGAGACCAGGCAGCCACGGGGCCCATGGCACCCTGAGTGGCCTCCTGTCACTTGGGGAGGTGTGGGCATGCCTGTGGCACATGCTTCGTGCTTCGCTGGGGGGGCATCACACACCCACCCATCCTTCCTGACCGGGCAGTTGTGGGATCGACCGCATGATCCAGGGCATTTGTT